AGGAGGTTATGACCTGATATTCCAAGCCTGCCAAAGCCACCTCCACACGCATGCTGCGCGTGCTTGAACGCGTGGGGCATCAGTCGGGATGCCTAGAAAGTGAGAACAACAGGGCGGCTCTTTCAAACGCCCGGTCCCTCAGCACGCGCTCGGTGCCTTACGCTATTGCCTCCTATAAACTGACAAAGCCTGGCAGACCGCCACGAGAAGCGTCCGCGGAAATTCAAACAATGGAGCGGCAGACAACGGATGAGAGGAGAGCCACGTGACTGGCGCCCCGTTTCGGTGAGGCGCGGAAACACACTTCTCCCGAGCGAACAGGTGTGCTTCGGATCCTCGCCGCTGCAAAATATGTGCGCTGACGTCCAGGCTCCCCGAGGAATGGCTCCTTGCGGCTTTGTGCTACCAGATCCTCGCGCTACAGATCTGCGACCGGTCAATCTATGGCTCCGTCGTCGAACTGCAAGGCTTTGTCAGTATGAAGGAGGCTATGCTTGCGCACCTGTTTTTGGCTGCGTGCCTATGTTTTACGCTCACGCTTTAGATGCATATGATTTTTGCCCGAACACGTTATTGGAATGTGGTGGTGCGTCCAGATAGTGCTGTAAGAGAGTAAGTTCTTAATTAATTTATTTAATCGAGGTGCCCTCCCGCGCCCGAGACCAATGAAAAAAAGGAAAAGAAACAATTAGAGATACTTGTTTTTACAAAAATAACCTTCTTGTTTTACAATAGTGCTGTACAGTTTGAGTGCGGTTTCGTCGTAGACCCGTATAATATCGTTTCTTTACGCCCTATGCTTTTTTCAGCTATCCGATTGATACCGAGAAATGATAATAAAGTTTAAAACAGCGCGAAAAGACAAGGAAAAGACAAAGAAGTAACACGGACGTAGCGCTACGTCCGTGTCACTTTTTTGTCTGGTCCTCGTTTTTTGGCGCTGTTTTTAATTCCGAAGTATGTACCAACTCGCCCAAGCCTCAACTTTAGCACGATAATAAAGGTCTTTCTTGGAAGGCAAAAACTCACCAGCTTAGATTTGTTTAGTATGATTAAGAGGGAGCGGTACCTCTATTTATTCGTCCGTTTCAGACACCAGATGGCGCGCGGCTTGTTACCTGGTTTGAACGCGCGACTTCTAGATGGCGCCAGTATCAAAGTGTGAAAAGGCCCGCGTTATCCGCTGCGTGAAATAGATCCCGAAACGGTGTCGTGTTCTCCCGGCGGACGAAGTTTTTCTCTCCCTCACGAGCGCTTGGTATGTGTTGTGGTCAGTCAGCTCAGTGTGCATTGCATTGGACGTCAGGGATAATACGCGCGGTGGCCGAGTCCGGCCTCTGCGCTGTGCGACGCAGTAGGTGGCGCTCGTTTCCGTTCGGAGGTAGGAATAAAAATGTCGGTCCCGTCTTTTACGACACTCGTTTCTATAGCTTGGGTTTTTTATCTAAAGTGACGTACAGTACAGCCTTTTGAAATCGTACTTTGCGGCGAGCGATTGAGAGTCAGGTTAGCATATTATTTTGGTCAGCATTACAGGTTCAATGAAGACCTCGGGCGGCGATGCAAATATGTGTTGCTCCCTAGAATGTGTCCAACGTGTGCAGTGACAATTGGAAATGGTATTGAAGGCGCGCGACCGTCGGTTGGTATAATACGTGTGTTAGATTCACTTATTCAGTATAATCCTTTTGCCAGCGTCTTTTATCTGTTTTGACAAATGACATGGTAGAGTCTATTGATAACCTTAGGCAGACTGAACGTACGGAGTGCCCGGGCTTTAAATAACCTTGCATCGTTTATGTGAATTATTAACATTTTTTCTCTTTTTCGTACCCTGTGCTATGCAAAAATGACTTAGATGTTATGGTAGCGTTGTGTGGCGACGTTTTGCAGGCTGACTCGCTATGGCATTCGCTGTGCACAGTATGTGTTCAGATGGAATGTGCCGAATCGTATTTCCGATCGATATGATCGATTTGCATTGCTACAGTGTTATTTATATTTTCCTGATTTAAACTGGTCCGTCCCTGATCTGAGCCTAAGTTCAAATTCGAGAGTGCAGACAGACTTAGCGTCGTAACAGTTGTTATGCCCAGAAAGAAATTAGTACCATGAAAGAAAAACAAAAGGATTCGAGGCGGCTCGGTGTAATAGAAGTAATGAGTGTACGAGAGATGCCATCCTACGTGTTTTTTTGTTTTTTTTAACGCTCCGCATCACTGGGAATCACTGAAGGTACCAGCAAAAACAACGAGCTGGCGTGAAATTTCCATCGAGCGGAAACAGGATTTCACGATTTCGGCCTTATGAAATAAACTATATGTTATATGGACATTTGCTTACGACGTTCTCGAGGTAAGAGATGAGTGACAGGCCCCTTAAAAGAAGCCTGACATTCAGCTTCCTTGAAATGTCCCAGAGGAAATTAAAAGGAGTAACTGAAGTGATCTCCCTTTAGTTTGGCTGAAGTCGAGCGCCAGGCACCACACAATGAACCTGTGTAGAAAGCTCCTTACTGGTATGGACCTTCGCGCTTTGTCAATTTCGGCGCCACCAGATACTAAAAGTAAATCTCTATTCGTCGTACACAACGCTGCACTCGGGCGATTTTCGTGCAGACGGTTTCTTTTCGGCGTCACGTATTGTGAACCCTAGGCATTCTCAAGCCGTCTGTTGCAGTTTCTGACGCCGGGAGTCAGAATCTTTGTGTTTAAATGAATTAATTGAATTGGGCTGGTTATCTGCAGAAAGTAATTTAAGCAATTAAAAGACTGTAGTCATGGGGCTAGCTAAGCACGGTATGCAGTTTTTTGGAATTCATAAATAAACTGATCATCCGAATGTTTATATCGCAAAACAGGTTAAAAACGTCAAGGAGATGTAGGTATAATATTCTAAACAAATAACCTGTCCTAATGTTGACGTACCGTTATTTCTAGCACCAGAAAAAAAAATTAAATTAAACGTTTGTTCTCTTGTTCACGAGTTCACCCACATAATCAAAAGTCACTGTTTCACTGTTTTTGACCTGTTTTCAATTCAAAGCACGATGCCTTCAGGAAACACACGTGGTTATTTACACTGCCTATTTTGTCACATTCCTTACAATCCCGAATGCGCGATTATTATATACTTACTACTGTGCCTCCTATTGCGAATGCTCCACCATTATAAGTGAGAAAAGCTGAGTTCTCGTAAGTGTTTGACCTTTGAACCTCTCGTACTGTCTTAGAGTCATATATGTACTCAATATGCGTGAGTGTTAACGAGGATTCATATGCCCATCAGCCTATTCACACATAGGCGGCAGGCCGATGGTAAAAATATTCAAAATGTGTTACAAAATGAACTTAAGAAGTTCTGCACACAAAGATGTAATGCAATTACGTGGTAAATATAAGAATCGGGTGACACTTTACGGAGTAAGTTAAGAAACGCTGTGAAACGCGACGAAAGACACGAATGTAACGCATCCGCCATAGCGCGGAGTATGGCGGAGGGGAGAGCGGAGCGACGACTTGAAGCAAACTAATGGCGGCCGCATCAGGTGATTCCAAGATGGAAGCTCCTATGCGGCGGAGAGTTAAAAGGTCTTAACCAGAGCGCCTAGATTTATAAGAGAGAGAGAGCAACCCAAAACATAAAGAGCCTTATTTCATTTTTATTTTTCTTAATAGCGGGAGCCGCCAGCGCAGATTGGTGCTCTATGCCAGTGCGTGCTTTGGCATCTGTCAGTGTATCAGACGGAGAGGAAAACTGAAGCCTGGAAAGTGAAGCCGTGAACGAGCCGGAGTGCTTTGTCGCTGCAGAAACGCAGGAGAGCTTTCACAATACAAAAATCGCGAGAATGACGCTCTGAAATTCTGCTCCACACACGAGCCGGCTATCCTTTCTAGTCATACATGGAAGTGCAATAACTGCTCACTTCCACAAGGCTCGAATAAAAAACGAAACACTTCTTTAATGTCATAAGTTTTGTTTAGAAAAAAAAATTAGCATCTAACAATCGTGCAAAATCGGGATAATTTGTTTCGTAAATATTAATTCGTACGATTATAGTAAAAATATGTTATTGCAAAAACCAAATAACAGTTTGTGAATAAGTTTTGCTGCGAAATATTAGTGTCACGGTGATTTCGGCTTTGCGATTTCAGTTTGAAAAAGTCAGCAAAACCTTTCGTTCATGCCTTGACTTCACGTTAAAGTCGTTGACACCACTTACTGCCATGTGAGTCTGGTTCGCTAAAACCCACGGCTTAAGGGATGAAGTCAGAACGCTCAATCGTAACACAGTTGCTCTGTGTCTCGCAATAAAATGGCACGCCGTAGCGAGGAGGCAGCGATAAAGATGCCGAGGCTTTGTGTGAAACGTTTGCACATACTCTGGCCTCTAACCTAGCTACCCAGTGGGGAAAACAAATGAAAACAAAAACGCGTGAAGGAGCGAGAGCACTTTTTCAGTCTTTTTGTTTCGTTATTAAACGTTCTCCAATTTATACTTCCATACTTCTTAAAGTGTTCTGGGAAACGTTTTTGAGAATAATCCATTGCATTAAGACTGAAGCATTTGTACATCTGACGAATAAACCCGTAAAATTGTCGCCAGCACCAAAATACCGATTTCACGTTTGTCAAAACTTTTGCGTGCTAAAAAAGACAAAATCGAAAAAAAACTTTACATCTGAGTTGTGAGCGTCAGTTGGCAAACGAACGTTGGCCAACTGTCACAAACATTTGCTGGCAGAAACTTACACACCTAGTTTCCTCCCCTCTTGGTCACCTTTATATTAAGTGGCTCTCCTTTTCCAGGATGAAAATTTTTTTCTCACTATTTACGCCAAGTTTTCCCGCGGAATGGATTAAAGGTCGAGCTTTAATTAATTAGCGGCGATCATCGAATGGAGAGAGGAAGGGGAGTTCGTTTCTTTTTAGAAGTTTGACAACATAGTCAACCTGTCAATGATGGAGCGTTGTTCGCCACTGAGGGCTTGCGAACTCACCCTTGTTGCCAGATGCGTTGATCGTGAATCCGTCGTCCCGGATCCAGGCATCCACCAACGTGTACTGACGGATGTATGAGGGCACGTGACACTTGAGGACGGCAGTGTTACCACGAATCACAAAGCCGTCGTACACGCGAGGCTCATATTTATAGTCCACCACTGCAACGAGAGAGAAACATCGAGGAACTCCGTTAGTGCCTGTTCAATTATACCTATAAACCAACTCAACTCACTCAAATCACACCACAGCTGTGGCGCTACTGTCGGTACTGCGCATGCGCAGACGCCTCACTATTGAATTTGGTTTGTGCGCACGCTCAGTGCCCACACCTGGGGTGAGAGGGGGAGGGGGGGGGCAAAGCGGGCTCGTTTGGAAACACTCTGTTGGTGTAAACTCCGTCTCAAAAGCCTGGCCGCAGCCGGCGCTCCAATCTGATTGAGCCAATCAAGTGAAAAATGCACCGTCACGGCACTTGTCGCCTTTGGGGCGTTCGTTATCATTGACGAAACCAGGGGCCAGGTCCGTCCTGCGAAAATCTATCGACCGGCCTGGGGCTGGCCGCGGGCCTGCCAACGAAGCCCGTTTCGCGGCCCGCTTCTAGCAGACCTGCTGCTACCAGCGCACACACAAACAAAAAAACAAAGAAGTACGCGTGAAAAAGACGGCGCCGCGATGCTCCCCACAATGTGAAAGCCGAAGAGGCCGGAGGGAACGAGAGAAACAGCATCAAAACGCGGGTCCTCTGTCCTTACTAGTATTTATTGAACACTGTCATCACCAGCGTCGCCATTCTTAGTCCACTGCTTCGTGTCCTCGCAACTGTGTAAAACTTATTTCGCGTTCTCACGCTCATTGTGCTTAGCGTCCTGTCTCGCTAGTGTTGCCTATTATCAGCCTTAGTTGTATCATCATCATTACTGTTTTTGCATTGCGCGAATACGCCAGAGTTCCCAAGCGCTTTGATATATCTTGTCAGTTTCCTTTGTCACAATATTTGTGTAATTCCACATTTTTCTTATTAACATGTTCTAAATTAAACTGCATGTATGCATGTAGCTTATCGTGTTCTTTTATAAAATCATAATCGATGTCTGTTCTTCTTTATTTTTATTTAAATGCGCATCTAAATTTATTTACTTCGTGTTTTTTTTTAATATTCAATTTTTCCCGGCCCTTGAGACTGTGATAGATACCTAATCCGGTCCCTTAGCCAACAAGTTCGTATGACCCTGGACAAAAGGCCGCCATGAACAGAAAAAAAAAAGCTCAAGATCACAACGCATCCACTGTGCCTGATGGGTCTATACTTCGTTCCAGCTTAAGTCCGAACGCGGCCTATGCTATGAGCCGAAGGGCCAATCATACAGCGTAAAACGCGCAGCGTCATGGCGTGCTCTCTGCGCTTTATAGAACTATAGCCGGCAGAGGAGCACGCACAGAGAAGCGGCGAATACCGGCTGGTCCTATCAACTGCAGAGAGCACGCCATGACGTTGTGCCTCTTTCGCTGTTTGATTGGCCCTTCGGTTCATAACATCGGCCGCGCTCGGACCGAAGCTGAAACAAAGTATAGACGGTGAAAGCCAACCCACGGAAACCACAAGCGCGGAGACGATTCCCTTTGGCGCGACTTGGATGGCTCTATCGGACAGTAGTGTTGGACGAGGTGGGAAGTGAAGCGTAGTATTAAAACGGCTTCGCAGTTACATCGGAGTACTTCGAACGATACTGCTGAAAGATTACCGTATATTGGTTAAAGGGTCATACTTTAACGAACGAGTAGCACCGAAGGGCATGAGGACAACACAGAACTTGGCTGCTGAAAACTGAAGGTTACGGTAACGGGAACGTTGTACCGCAACCCCAAAATAATAGTTTTTTTTTTACTATTAAAAAAGGGAAACTGAAAACAAAGTTGTTGATTTGAGTTAAGAGAATCATTTGTCGAAACATGAATATAAAAGACAGGAACCGTAATAATACATTTATATATTTCGAAACGTTACTAGCGTAAAGATACCGCTTTATTCAGTTCAGTTGGGTGCTAATTGGTAGGACACATTTCTAAGATACGACAATTTTAATATTTTTTCCATGTAATTTTGAAGAAAAGCGAAAAGCGTGCTTTAGGAAAATAAAAAAAAGGTATACGAAACGACGGTGTTCAAAGCAGACCGATCTCACCAGCCAGTTTGGCTACGCCACAGCTTTCGCCATGGATCAATGGAGCTTTAGTCTTTATGCACGCGCAACGACCTGGCCGAAGCTCTTTGCGTGTAGGACCAGGAGACAGCACACTCAAAACAAAAACGAAGGTGTATTAATATTTGTTTTGTCCCACATAAGACACCCAAAAGTTTTTGTTTGACGTACAGCGCACTGACGTCGATATGACGGTACTAACTTTCTCAAGGGGCTTAATAGCCGTGTGGTACAAGATATTAAACTAGTTATAATGTACGTGTTACTGACTAGAAAAAAAAATAATCGAGGTTTTTTTGGCCTTACTGCAACATCTCAGTGGCTTCTTTCAGTGGTCTTTAATACGTACTTTAGCTATTTAATAAGTTATATTAGACCGCTATCACGCCCCTCGTGAAATTTGGGGCCTTCTGTTCGACACTGGTGCGCTGCACGTGGAATTGAAATTTCGGGGTGCATTATCTGGGACAGAAGGGTGTAACTGATACTCTTTTTTAAGAGTACACGAGCCATCTCGTGCGCTGCCGCCTGCTTCCGGTTAACTTAAGTATGGCGGCGTCACGCATGCGCCGAACACTCAGTGATATCAGCTTATTTACACTTCAAATGAAACTTTCATATACATTACTCGATTGTGGTTAAGTTACTTCAAACTGCTCTCGGCGTAGAGGCAGCAAACCAAACCATACCGTGTGTCAATGCTAGCCAAACGATTCGTACGTTTTGGCTCAGTTAACATATTACACCTTCACAAAGCCGACACGGCTGTAATACATTACATAATCTACATCAAAGCCCATAAAGAACCCTTCTGCCACATCACAAGTATAAATAATTTTCAGATTAGTAACAATGAGATTCTCTGACGTCGCTGCGTGTTAAGCTTTACATATTCATGCGAGACCATATGTACCATCACGATGCCCTGACATCAAGCTACTCCGGTGGCGCTGCTGTTCCTGCACGCGTGCATAGCCTACACCTGGTGTTGACAAAGGCCGACTTGTTCGTCAACAGCGTGTTGGTCCAGAGTTATCGACAACTTAAGAAAGGCAGGGTGTGGTGAGTGCCAAGCTCTCGTTAACGCTCCCGAGCCACCAAGGCTGCGGCCTTGGCCGATAATAACACCAGACGACTCATCACAGTTGAAGAATCCTGAAATCAAGCCCCCTCAAAAATCTAAAATAACTGCCCCGTAAATCAGCTTGGAGAGCCAATGGCTGACGTCTACAGAGGGAGCTCGGCGAATTACGGGTCTCAAAGATGCATACAATTAAATAAAAAAACGCCTGCCTGTGGCACTAAATATACTGGGAGTTTCCAAGAAACGAGGAACGTGTTTTTTTGTTTGTTTTTTGTCCGAGTAATTAAACTATACATCGCGGAAAGCTCAAGCTCTATGAGAATGTGAAGCCATCGGTTGGAATAGAACGTGAAAGTTTTGAGAACATGACGTTACCTGGATAAAAATATTATTGAGAAATGAGAAATTTCTCCACGCGCCTATTTGCCCCTTAAGCCTAATATCGTCGAAACAGGACACTTGTGGGATTTATATCGGCTGAAAACACTTGTCAGCAAGAAAGAGTATATTGTTTACTTTCTTGCTGACAAGTGTATTTCTCACTGAAATAGGTGCTTTAAGTGCCCGCAATGACATTTCTTGTTTTTATAATATTAGGCTTGGGTAGACGTCGGCTCATAGAGAAATTTCGCTTTTCTGAATTATCTTTATATCCAGGTAATGTCATGTTCTCAAAACTTTTGCGTTCTATATCCCAAGCGCTAGCATCACCTTCTCACGATGTTTGAGCTTTGTGCAATGCATAGTTTATTTCCCTCGGCCGAAAACACTGAGCTCTTGCCTCGGGAACTCCCTGTACTTATAAACACACCCTGCGGCACTTTGGCGCCTGGAGCGCGTCTACGACTTGTGTTTAGCGCCCGAAGTGTCATCAAATGGTCCCGAAGTGTCATTAGGTCCCAAAGTGTCATTAAATGACGTCACAAAAGCCGGAATGTCCAGGTGTCGGACGTCGCAATCCTGGCGGTTGGTCGTAGAAATGCTGGCGAAAAGCAGGAGCGACCGCGAGTGTCGCTGTCGCCGCGGCGTTCCAACTTCTGGCTGCCGAAGCGTTCGTAGACTGACACACTGGAGAGTGACCTGCAGCCGGATAGGCAAGGCGTCTGCAACATAAACCACCGCTGCTGGAAGACCACCAGGATCGCAACAGGCGACAGCATGATACTTCAATGACGTCATCAGGTGGAAATCAAGGGACCACTTTTTTTTAACGAGGTGAGCACACCAGTCGGAGATGCGTTTTACGCACCATAGAGTAAAAGACCATATTGTCGTTCTTCCTTGGTCTAAACAACTTTTCGGCCTTGAATATCAAACGGCCCCGTGAGTACCGCGTGGGTCAAATGGATCGGCGACGCTTTGAAGGAAGCAATAGTGAGGGTGCAGGCTAGCTGGTGTAAATTGAGCATAGTTGTAAACCCGAGACTGGGGATACGGACAAGGGATAAAACACAGAACGACACGGACGAAATCTCAAGCACTTCGTCCGTGTCGTTCTGTGTTTTGTCCCTTGTCCGTATCCACAGTCTCGGGTTTACAACTATGCTCAATGCTTTGAAGGAACCGCATATATCGATTTCTTAACTTATCGCACTGGGATTTACTTCGGAGGTGCTCGACTCTTGTGCATTCTTTAATTGACAGTATGAATACATAAAACCTTCAGAGTCAAAATAAAAAAAAAAACTAGTTTTCTTTATGAAACAAGTTATCGCGAAGCCTTTTATCTGAAAGTCATCAGAAAATCGTTGAGGGCTATTCTGGCGTTTACTAAGATTGAACGATTTGTGAAATGACAAGGAAATAGAATTGGCTTGCTTATTATTCACTTTATTTGGCTGAAAAAACCGCCACAGTAACACATAATATTTTT